TATTGGATCTCTGAGGAGCCTTGAGTTAGGTTACACTTTCACGGCTGACATCTATTCATGTAAGTTATTAATTGGATGCTGCAGCTGATTGGACTAATCTGATATATCACTACAAGTTTCACGAGTAAAGACAGAATACATTCAAGTGCATACCTCCCGAGTTTTATGTTTCATTTAGTTTGTGATTCACAGTCTAGTTAAAAAGCTGTGTTCATTGTAGGTTTGTGTAACACAAGGAACACAAATAACTTTCTTTATTAATTAGAGATATTTTTCTTTTTTATGATCTTATTCCCCCCCGTTAACATTTGTTATGGATACAATTAAAGTCAGTGAGATTCGAAGAGTCTTTCCGTCAGCAAGAAACCCTTTTTACATAATTTATCTTTATTTCCATTCGGTCACATGTGAGGCTGATCATTCCTGATTGTCAGGTTTGATAGGAGTTACATCATTTCGAATTGCCCTGAAATATTTAGCCTAATGAATAATTTACAATGTTCATAAGACACCATGATCATATTCTGGGTTATTCTAATGAATTCACAGATCATATTATCGATTGGCCAAAATACAGGTGCAAATAATGAGTAAATAATACAAGAATTCTGACAGTGATCCTACAATGTACATTTACCTTTTTTTGTGTAATATGTAGTAGTAAATAGTAGCTAAACTATCATGAATGGACTGATTGGAGTTCAGTTTTTTATGAGCAAAATAATACATAAAAAGGATGGTAATTTATTCTAATGCTGCTGACATGCTCCAACAATGGATTAATGCTAAAAAATATAAATCATTTAAAAAACTTAAACACTACCCAAATTCAGCACTATAAATAGCATCTAATTTGGTTAAAGCAGGAAAGTCAGTAAATCAGTCTGCACTGATCTATGAATGAATGTGAGTAATTCTGCTGCTGTCAACAACGGCTTTATACCACATGAAAAGCTTCTCCTTCAGTTCATGAAATCCTTGCAGCATCTGAAGGGAGCAGGACTGATATGTTGATAAATGTAATCTGAGAAGTGAAAACTTCTACATATTACACAAAATATAAGCAATATATTCTTGCATAATGACATGGGCTGCAGAATGAACGTTAAATCTCCTTCTCTCTGTCTGGAGAACCCCTTGGAAGTGTTAGGTGTCGCGCAGCTGTGTGACATCAGCTTCACTGAATCCTGCACTGACACGACACACTAGATGCGACAGCATCACACTTGTAAACTCACATCTTATATTGACACCATATACAAACTGCTGATTGTGAGTTTGTCGCAGTAGGTATTTACAGAAGTAAGTTAGTTAAACCCTTTACTCCGTGGTGTCTCCATCTCCCACTTGATGTCATTCACATTCAATCACAATTCAAAAACAAGAAACACTTTACATACAAACACATTATTGACACATTACTCACAGTAGGCTATGTTACATCTAAATGAAGTTTATGCACTGCTGTATTGAAAAAGCCATACAGAAGAATATGCTAGCTAGTGAAGATACAGCAGAAAGTAAACAGTGGGTTTCAGAATCAAAAATGAAAAGAAGCGCAGAGCAAGAAAAAGCAAAGCTCTCAAAAATATTCAGTTTCTTTATAAAGAAATAGGGGTGTATGCCTGTTTCCTGTTCTGTTTTAGACTTGTCTGGTGTCTGGTCTCTGACCGGTTATAGAGATTTAGTGTTCTGTTCTTTTTGGAAAAGCTAGGATTAATCAGTTCTGTGTTGGATTCTCATTTGTTTGGACTTTGCTTGCACTAGATTTTGTGAGTCTGATTATCCTGCTTTTGTTAATTAAACTGCACGAACTGAATCTGTGCATCTGTGTCTTTGGGTCCAAAACCTGTCTGTCACTCGGCCAATCCTGACAACTGGATAACAGCAAGCATGAGCTGTGAGCAAGAAATGCCTTAGGGGACACCTACTGCTAGCACCAGCAGCATGCCATCCACCGCTCTCGAGGGGGCTGCTTGCGGCCATTGCGAGGCCCTGCCCCTGAGGGTGCTGAGATCCCGTGCGGCTCTCTTTTCCGGAGACGGCCGGATGCGTTCTTGCCGTGGCTCGGGCCCGGCAGTTGCTGTGGGGGCTCGGCAGCTTCGGTCATGGGGCTCCCAGCGCGACATTTCCGAAGGCATCGGGACTCCCTGCTGGCTCCGACTCCCCTCTTCCCCGTTCGGGAGCCCGCTTTTTGGCTTCTCCCGCTCGAGGTGTGAGCCCAGAGAGGCTGCAGCTGTCCCGCTCTGAGGAGCTGGATGTGCTCAGCATTATGGAGGAGGAAGAGTTCTTAGAGGTGGTGACACGGGCAGTGGGCAAGCTCCAGCTTGATTGGCCGCAGGCTGTGCCAGACACACAGGCTGCCAGTAAGCTAGATGAGTACTTCCTGCGGCGCTGTGCGCTGCCTCCGTGCCAGTCTCTGCCCTTTTGCCCTTCTCAGCACGTCTGACTACTCCCCCGCTCCGGGTTTACAGCGTCGTCGCGGGGGTTAAGGGTTTCGGTTATGGGACGATGCCCCGGGTTGAGGATGCTTTGGTCAGCTATCTCTCGCCCGGTCTTGCGTCGTCCCTGCCTACCAAGCCATGTCGCATGACATCTGCTCTGGTGGGCAAGGCGTACATGGCGGCAGGCCGGGCTGGTGTGAGCCTGGGGCATTTGGGGCCGCGGCTCAACGCGAAGAAGAGCATGCTGACGCCCACCCAACGTACTACATTCCTAGGGGTGGTGTGGGACTCAACGACGATGCGGGCCCACCTATCGCCTGCACGCGTCGGGTCCATTTTGTCCTCAATGACCAGAGTGAAGCATCACTGTGAAACACTTTCAGAGGGTGTTGGGTCTCATGGCGGCAGCGTCCAGCTGTCTCAGGCGGAGGGCCACGTCTTTCACCCTTACCCCACCCTGTGGAGACTGTGGGTCTGGCCCCTGAGGGGGCCCAGTTCCTTGAGGTGGGCCTGATGGCGGGAACAGTCGAGACGCTGCTCAGCTCCAGAGTCCCGTCCACGAGAAGGACGTACGGCCTGAAGTGGAATGTGTTTGCCACCTGGTGTAGAGAACGGGCGGTAGACCCAGTTACCTGCCCGGTGACTATGGTACTGGAGTTCCTCCAGGACCATTTCTCTGCTGGCCTTTCCCCGTCCACACTCAAGGTGTATGTGGCTGCCATGGCAGCGTTCCACGCCCCTCTGAGGGATGGGCCCCTGGGGAGGCTTTCACTGGTCGTGCGCTTCCTCCGTGGAGCCCGGAGGATGAGACCCGTCACTCGTTCCAGGGTTCCCACTTGGGACCTGGCAGTGGTTCTCGAAGCGCTGGCTGAGGCCCCCTTCGAACCCCTGGAGTCGGCAGAGGCCAAGCACCTGACCCTTAAGATGGCCTTTCTCCTCGCTATCACCTCTCTGAGGAGGGTGGGGGATCTCCAGGCACTTACGTTTTCTCCTCACTGCCTGGAGTTTGCCCCGGGGAGGGTCAGGGTCTTCCTGCACCCCTGTCCGGGCTATGTCCCTAAGGTTCCGTCCAGGTTGGGTCTACGGTGCTGCAGGCGTTTCATCCCCCACCTCATGTGGGAGACTTCATCTGCTCTGCCCGGATTTTCACTGGTGGAGGAAAGCAGACCAGTTGCTGGTGTGTTTCGGGTCCTCCAAGGCTGGGCTCCCCGCTTCTAAACACACGATCAGCAACTGGATCGTTCAGACTATTTCCCTGGCCTATCAGGTGCGTGGGTTACCTTCACCTAAGGGTGCACTCTACTCGAGGCATGGCGGCCTCTAGGGCCCTCCTCGCAGGGGCTTCGCTCCAGGATTTGTGTGAGGCAGCTGGCTGGGCCACTCCTCACACTTTCATCCGGTTTTACAGTCTGGACCTTCCTTCTGCACCCGGCACCCGTGCGCTCTCCTCTTAGTCGTGCCTACGGGTTACTGCACGGTGGGGGGCAGGCGGAGGCTTCGGCGTGGCATAGTGGGTATTCTCGTTCCCATAGTGTCATCACCGACGCAGTTCGAGTTCCCTCGAAGGGGAACGTCTCGGGTTACGTATGTAACCCTTGTTCCCCGAAAAGGGGAATGAGACACTGCGTTGGTCCGCCACACCTCACCCCGCCTGGAGTGCCTTGCTTCATAGCAAAGAGCTAATGTGTCTGGTGTGCCGGCGTGCTTATATATGCCTCCAGTTACGCCGTCACACGCTACCGTTCTAGCAACGCCAATAGGATTGGAGTAGTTTCATTCATGATTTCAGCCTTGCCACGCCCAGAGGCGTTCCCATAGTCTCGTTCCCCTTCTCGGGGAACAAGGGTTACATACGTAACCCGAGACGTTCTTCTTACTAGCCCAATGATAACAAAATAAGTTTTCTTATCTTAGTCAACCAGTTAAATTTTGCAAAATTCAGATGTCTAGTGGATGATAGCTAGCTGCTTTTTAAAAAAAGCCGCACTTTGACAGGAAGTGCTTTTTAATTAAAATTTGCCTGATTACATTAATTTGAATTCACTCAATATTCTCTCTATTTGGGATTAGATAAATATAATGCTTGTGTTTTATTTAACTACAATGGGTGGATTTTATTCCAAACGTTTTTTATTTGAAATTTAATTAAATATTTGCCTCAAAATCAAAAACACAATCATATTGAATATATTTGAACTAATACATTAATTCAAGTCAACATGACCACAGAATCATTTTTTGCAGTGTATAATTATGTACTGTACAATTTAATATTTATTAGACAAATGATCTACACACTCGTGTTTTGTGTTTAAAATGTCTATGTGCATACATGAAACAATTTGTCAACAATGTCAATGTGTCAATTGCTGAGAAGTGTTGACCACATAACCGACCGCAGTTAGTTTGCATGCTGCAGTTTCAGGTTATGGTCTTTATTTTGTCATGGAACCTACCCATGCTCAAAGCCACCCCCGCCCCCATTCCCCCCCACATGCATGACAAGCAGCATAATAAAAGTGAGGGACTGTTAGTGAAGTGGACAGAAAGAAGACGAACACCTTTAAGACAACAAGATAGACAAGCAGGCCAGAAAGACAACAGACGCAATCAAGATGATGATGATGATGAAGAAGAACCCCATCATTCTGGTGACCTGTGTCTTGCTTTCCTCATCACTCGCTGTCCCGGAAATTCTTTGTAAGCAGGCTGCTTTCTGCTTCTTCTTTTTTTCAGAAAGGACCAATCTATCCATAGATTTCTGGAATAATTTCTTAATATCCCTCTTGAGGACAGAAGAGTTATCTAAAAGGTTAAAATTATCAAAAATACAGTTCCAAAAATTTTAAAAGAGATGAGATTGAAAATGCCTGCGATGGATTGACGACCTGTCCAGGGTGTACCCTGCCTTTCCCCGATGTCAGCTGGGATTGGCTCCAGCCCCCTGCAACCCTGTACGCAGGATAAGCGGTTGACGATGGATGAATGGGATTGAAAATAACATTGTTAAAAAAATAGTCATTAAAGTGTTGGGGTGGAAGAGTCTAAAAGCTTATGCACACTGATTTCAAAATGATGAAAATATGAAACATTTGCATTTCTGTATTTAAATACTGGTAAGTTAAGAGCATTTAAATAATTTGATTTATTTGTTATTTAGCAAAATTTTGAATGAGATCAGAGTCAAAACGCAGCTGTCTTCAACAGGTTACTTGTATGTTCTCTAAAGGTGCAAAGGAAATCTGAAAATGTACCCCAAAAAATTATGTTGATGTAACAGTTTTGTTTTGAATGCCACTTAGCCTTTCTTTTTGTCCATAAAGTCCCTGTTTTTTTCTTGGATTCCCATGTACCCTTGGTCCAGATGACTGCTGTTTACAGTTCTTCTCCACAAGGTTGCCTAAGAACAGTGTGGTGAGCTACAAATATACAGAGAAGGGGTGTCTACATAAAGCCGTGCTGTAAGTGTCTTTTCTGTGACGTTAAACTTCTGCCAAAGTTCAGAATTAACTTTATTTCACAAAACAAAATAACTATTCATACACACTGCCTCGAACAAATACACAGTAAGATTCACGTATACACATGCTGCTAAACTGACATAAAAAACCTACACAAGGCAAATCTAAACATACTGTATAGTTATTATGTACAGGCCTGTACGTAAGAATGTAGATTTATATACACAATTATCATAATGTATCTAAGATGTTAATATAAATGTATTGGAATGTTTATATTTTAATGAAAAACATTAGAAAATTGACACTGAATCAAAAACAGAATCAACTGTCTTTGTCTCTGTTTTAGTTTTACGATGAGGAATGGTGCCAAAATCTGTGTCAACCCATCTGAGAAGTGGGTCAAGAACATCATCAAGACCAAACACTGGATCCAAAAAGTGAACAGCTCTGGATCCAAACAGTCCGACCTACCCAATGTATGTTTTATCACTACACTCTGAAGCTCACTTAGCCAAGCAGAAGTGGAAGTGTAGTGGTTACCTGCTGTACCATTTTTTATGTTTTTCAGTTAGCTTAAAAATAAATGCAAAATAATGCCTCAAATTGTTTCTTTTTCCTGCTCTTTTGTCTGTTTTAATGTGGTTTCAAGCTGGTTTCAGGTGATGTCCTGGAAGATTAGATATAAGCAGTTTTACAGTAAATCATGTACTTAAAATGTTTTCTGATCCAAAACTTTGATCAGAAAGAATTAAATTCCACATTCCATATTCAATTCATACACATCATATATTTGTCAAACGGTCTTGATGTGGTTTCTGGCAGAGAAAGCCACAGGAAATTCAGATCTGCACAACAAAGACTTGAAAGTTCAGCACCAACAATCAACTTTAACTCTTTAGTCAAGTGTGAGTAAGGTTGGGAATTTGCTAAAAAAAAAAAATTTATTCTGTATAAATTAGTGATGACCCCAACTTCCACTGCCCTTAATTTGCCTCTATGACCAGCAGATGTCGCTCCAAAGATGTTTTTCACAGTGGTTTCCAAAGCCAGGTTTATGTTGCTCTTGGTCGTGTACTGCAGCAAAAAAGAGGAATTGTTTAATCTCATTTGTGATTGCACTCCTGAGAACAGTGGCTCAGTGAGATAGTGTCTGAAGTGCTTCAAAACCACTCAGTTATGGAGTTATACCTAGTCAAATCTGACAACTGAAAACCCTCTCAGATGGCTGCTGTCTGGGGTCAATGCTGAAATGAGACACACTTGAGGGAAAATATATGACGAAAACGACCAGACTGTAGGTGGCAAGTTTAACTCCCAGTGCTCTTACTTTGTTAGATGTCCTGGAGATTTCTAGATAAACCAACCCGAAAATCTCCTCCTGTCCCAGAAGGATGTCTCAAATGACGTCAATGGGGTGACATCATCATCCAGCTTTTCTTTAAATAGTTTCAGACCCAGATTTGTATTTTGATGTCCTGCCACCCTCCACATGCTACTTCGTGTGTGTGTGTGTGTGTGTGTGTGTGTGTGTGTGTGTGTGTGTGTGTGTGTGTGTTCGTACATAAACAGTCTTGTGAGCACAATTACTCAATGAAAGCTCATAACAAAGGCTTTATACTTACACCACAGATGACCCATTAGAGGAGATAGTCTGATTAGATTTTGGAGGCCCTTGCTCCATAGATTTGCAAATTAATGAGGAAAATCAATCAGGCGGGAGATGGGGCAGCTCGTGATGATCATCAACAATCATGTTAATGAATAAAAATGATTAAAAGCCACCATGTCTTACTCTCATCACATTTCCAAAACTTTGGATTTGCTGTTGGTTCAGTGAAAATACTCAATCATGAGACCACGAAGCGAGTCTTGGGGGTGTCCTATTAAATTTGCATATAAGTCTGTCAGTGTGACCTACCTGTAGCAGAAAGAACAAGAACAAGCAGCCTGCGGTTTTAAAGTCACCAAGAAGTATTCAGATTCTTTACTTAGGTAAGAGTAGCAAAACATTTGTGTAAAAATACTTGATTACAAGTGCAACTCCTTCATTAAAATATTGCTTACGTAAAAGTAAAAGTAAAAGTACAGAAGTATTATCAGCATTTTAATGTTGTAGTCGGTTAATGTGAAGATACTACTTTAGAAACAGTGAGGTAGTTTAGTCCAGTGGCTCCCAACCTAGCGGTCAGGCCCCAACCAAGAGTCACAAGATAAATCTGAGGGGTCATGAAATAATTAATGAAGAAGAAAAAGAAGAAAAGAAAAAGTTTTTGCTAATCTTTTCTTTTTTTGTGAAACAATGGGTAATTTTACCTGTTTTGAGCCTCAAACAATAATTTTGAGGTAATGATCTGATTTAATGTAAATGAAATGATTTATTCTAAATGCACACAATGCATTTTCTTCAGGTTTATCATATGTTTTTAATTATAAATTAATCTTAATTTGCAAAGTCTCCTAACAGCTGTTAGATCCAATCGAGTGTGTGTGGGATGTCCATGGAGGCCAAAGCTCACAACTTACAGAACTGAAAGGATCTGCTGCTAACGTCTTGGTGCCAGATAACACAGCACACCTTCAGAGATCTAGTGGAGTTCATAACTCAGCGGGTCATGGCTGTTTCGGCGGAAAAAGGGGGACCTACACAAAATTAGGCAGGTGGTGATAATGCTATGGCTGATTAATGTATATAAACACATGTAATGATGAATCAATAAAATAGCAAGTCAGTGATCTTGCACAAATCAAGCTCCACTGTTGGTGACCGTGAAGAACATTTCTGTCTTTACTGCATGTTCCTGCTGCTTTAACCTAATTACTGTATGAAAGAATGTTTGTTCATAAAAAGCGGAACAAAAACACAGTCCGCTGTGATACACCGGTGTTGGGACGTCATGTGGTGTTACAGAAGACTGAGAGAAATGAAGAAAAGGGAGAACAGCAAAAAAGAAAAAGGTCTGTAAGCAGTACACTGGGATGTCATCAGGAACATACACAAACACATGACCACACATATGTATATAAATAACCGGTGTGTGGTGTCAGCTTTTCCTGACAGATGGGATCAACATAAATTACACCCTGAGAGAACGAGAGTGTGAGTGAGTGAGTGAGTGTGTGTGTGTGTGTGTGTGTTGTGTGTGTGTGGGCAGGTATTACTGATGTTGTTGAGACATAAATCCGTTTGCACAGTCACATTGTGGGGACTCACATTCCTTATGGGGACAAAATGCAGATCCCTGTAATGTAAATCATTACATTTTAAGGTAACTTGGTTTAAAGTGGTCATATTATGCTCATTTTCAGGTTCATAATTTTATTTAAGGGTTGGACCAGAATACGTTTTACAGGTAGAATTCATTTTCATAAAAACACCATACTTTTGTCATACTGCACATTACTACAGCACCTCTTTTCACCCTGCGTTTTGACCGCTCCATTTAACTGCTGAGTGAAGCATCTCACCTCTATTTGTCCTCTAATTAAGGACTACTAGACAATCAGAAGGAGTAGGGCGGGTCCTGACAAGACCCCCAGCTTCACAACCTAGACTGGAGCAAGAGTTTCAGAGTGGTAAGTCAATTATTTGTTACTAACTGATCTTTCATAAGTAAAGTTTTAACGGTGCACTGTCTCTACATCACATTCACAACTTCATGTCCATTGACTGCCTGGAGAGAATCTAATGTTCGGTAGGGAGGGTGGGGGAGAGGGGAGACAGCGGGTGGACATCTTGTCACTGTGTGTGACAATTTGTGCTTTTTCACTTTGCAAACCTATTATGTGCACACAAAAAGATAGATAGATAAAACAACAAAGGAAAGGGGAAAAGCCAAAAAGCATAATATGAGCTCTTTAAGGTTTAGTTAAGAGTCCATTTCCAGGGAATGAATGTAAGTCAATGTAATGTCCCGGAAAGCGATGGAAACATGACTGTGTGTGCATGTAATCTGACTTAAGCTACATTTGGGGACACATATCAGACTAAAGACCAGCTGATTGGAAAAGGTTTGTCCAATTGACCCTTCGCTAAGCCACACCCTGAATACACAGCTGGCCAAACACAGCGCAGTATCGGATTTTACAGTAAATCATGTACTTAAAATGGTTTCTGATCCAAAACTTTGATCAGAAAGAATTAAATTCCACATTCCTCATTCAATTCATACACATCATATATTTGTCAAACGGTCTTGATGTGGTTTCTGGCAGAGATAGCCACAGGAAATTCAGATCTGCACAACAAAGACTTGAAAGTTCAGCACCAACAATCAACTTTAACTCTTTAGTCAAGTGTGAGTAAGGTTGGGAATTTGCTAAAAAAAAAAAATTTTATTCTGTATAAATTAGTGATGACCCCAACTTCCACTGCCCTTAATTTGCCTCTATGACCAGCAGATGTTGCTCCAAAGATGTTTTTCACAGTGGTTTCCAAAGCCAGGTTTATGTTGCTCTTGGTCATGTACTGCAGCAAAAAAGAGGAATTGTTTAATCTCATTTGTGATTGCACTCCTGAGAACAGTGGCTCAGTGAGATAGTGTCTGAAGTGCTTCAAAACCACTCAGTTATGGAGTTATACCCAGTCAAATCTGACAACTGAAAACCCTCTCAGATGGCTGTTGTCTGGGGTCAATGCTGAAATGAGACACACTTGAGGGAAAATACCCTGAATACGCAGCTGGCCAAACACAGCGCAGTATAGGACTCGTTCTAACTGAGGTCAGACACTTTCATAGCTGCGACATTGACTCGTATGCAAAAGGCGTAGTTTTCAAACTTTTTTTGCCGTATTTTTCCAAGATATGGTCAAATGCTGTTCCAGGGGCACTTGTAATAGTTACAGTCTCTACCCAGAGAGGTTGAAAGCACAAATTATTCTCTTTCTAAAACCTAAAATAAATCCAGAAAAATACAGGCTGTGGATTGTTCCTAATGTAATGTTGGGTAGCTAACGCTAGCTAACTTACTGCTGAATCCTACTGTTTTTAATGATTGCAACAATGAATAGAGACCTACCCAGCTGTACAGGAACAGTATTGATTCTTAATGTCGTTCCTCTTTCTCAATAGTGAGGTAATACGGTGGTTCACTTGTACTCTGGGATCGGTAGGCTTTAGCTTCTGTCTTTTTTTTCATGTCAGTTTGAGTCAGTTTGACAGCCTGAATACAACCTTCAAATGCCCAATGCAACTGCAAAACTGTCTGTTACTTTTTGTGATCGCTTTTTCCAAAAATTAGACAATATTTTTCCAGGGAGTGAAGTAAAAGATTATGGCAGCACCATCCGACAGGTCCAACAGTTTGTCAGGGCGTGGCTTAGCATAGGGTAAATTAGGAAAAAGCAGATTTCTGGGCCAGTATTTAAGGGTAGGGTTATCAAGTAGTGGTTATAGTTAAAAGTAGTCTCCAGGAAATTAATATATTTTTGTTTTACTACAGTGGGGGAAAAAAATTATTTGATTCCCTTCTGATTTTGTACGTTTGCCCACTAACAAAGAAATTATCAGTCTATAATTTTAGTGCTAGGTTTATTTGAACAGTGAGAGACAGAATAACAACAACAAAAATCCAGATAAATGCCTGTTAAAAATGTTATAAATTGATTTGCATTTTAATGAGATACTGCACTCTGGCTGGCTTTGTTTTCCCGGCTTTGACACTGCAGATAGTCTGCCTTGGTAACGTAATCCCAAAGGGGACTGTAATACTGTTTGCCCCGATCATAACACTCCCTCACATGGAACCAACAAGCCAACCAGCTAATGTTAGCTTACCATAGAGAGACACCATAGCACAATCCCGCAGTAAAATCCTTGTTGAAACTTGCATTAAAATGCAAATATCCAAAGATAGTAAGGAGGATAGCAAAATGTAAACATTTAACATTAGCAAGGCAAATGACAGCTTTATAATCAGTTAAGGTTAGCTAGCCAGCCTCCCTTAAGGCATTTACTCTGACAGCGTGATTTATAATCGCGTTGATGTTTTTTGTTTCGGACATATCTTCAAATTTCAAGCAGCTATTCCAATTGTTGTGACTGAGGTTACTCCTTCAAAAGTTAGCTGGCTCCGGTAAAGTTATGTTGGGCCAGTTATAGTTAGCTAAAGTTAGCTGTGCCTCCTCAGGAAAGTGGATCAGCGCACCCGGCATTCACACACACACACACATACACACTACTTCTTCCATTTCATATTGTTTGAATTGTGTTAATTTTTAACTACTGTTTTAAAAATAACCTTGGTTTGTTATCAATTAATTTTTAATTGAAATTAAAATTCTAATGCAAACTAAGACATCAACTATTTATTGTGTAAAACGCTGATGATGGTTGGGGAAATGAAGACAATGAAGATGACATTATCTTCAAAGTAAATTTCTTAAGAGCAAAACACTGTGGTAAAGGGCCATTGCGATAAAAGACATCTTAATTTTGAGGCTTACTAATTTCAACATTAGTAACTTTCAAACATGAATAAAACTTTCAAAGCTATTAAAACAATCAACATGTAATAAGAAACACAATAAGAAAGTTGAATGAACACATTTAGTTTGTAGATACTGCACTTTGCCTTTGCAATACTGTTTTAGCTAGTTAAGGTCATCCAAAGGCAGAGTGCAGTATCTGCTTTTTGAGGGTCAAAGTGCACATCAGTGGTCCTGGTTTTTATCTATGAAAAAGGTCTTCCTAATGCATTGAATGCATTACCACTGATCTAACCACAACGTGTTTGACTGGCTAGTCTCAAAACTTTAAAGGCATTTTTCTCAGTTTCAGCGTAGTTACTGCACTTAGCTTTTGTAGGGCAGAATAAGACAAGCAGGAAGAAGAAGGAGAACAAGCAAAAGAGTTTCACACAGTCAAATGTGCAAAAATATTTTTAGCAACAAAAGTGTCACATGTGGCAAGACCTGACTCACACATGCATGTTTGTATTTCTATACTTGTGAGGACCCTCATTGACTCCCAAGGTCTAAAACTCAAATTGGTCCTCACCAAGCCACAAGCGCACAAACACACACACACAAACACACACACACAAACACACGCACACATGCACACATGCACACGCACACATGCACACACTTCTGTCTCTGCTGCAGATATACAAAACAAAACACAGGCAATGCCAGCCAACAGACAACAATCAAACACAAACAACTGGCAGACTCCAGAGCAACAGTTACATTTCATATCACACCCTGTTGAATATTGGCTGATGACTGGCACACACACACACACACATTAGAAGATTATTATGATGTCATTATGTGCAGACGGGGAAATTAGACCTAAATTGCCTGTCTAACGCTGGTTATTTATCACCAGCCTAAAAGACACAGACTTCTGAATCACTGGTATAACTCTCAAAACCAAAATGTCACTTTAAGGCAGCTGCCATCTAACTTTTCCTGTCACGTTGTCATGGTAATAAGCGCGTTGCACTGCATGCCTTTGGCTGAACAATCTAATGATGACTGAGTTCAGCGGCCCAGATTTCTCAGAGCCGTGTGCTTTCAGACACATGATAATGCCGCTTTGCATGACAAAAAAAGTAAAGCCCCCTTCTAGAGCGGCTGTCTTGTGTGTTTCAAAGAAGATTAAAAGGAAATTAAAAAGTGGGAATTGAACAGAAATTAAGAGAGAGAGGAGGACGGGAGCGATGAGAAAGAGAAGGGACCAAAAACCTAGAGATCAATATCTTCCATATAATTACCTACAGCTTCCTGGGTTGCTAGGAGACCAAACATGGATGAGAGAGACACACACGCACATAAAGACTGAGAATAATCTCAAGGTTGCACTGATTTTCACTGTGTTTTTGCCACTTGTTTTTAAATAGAGGTCCGGTCAACAGGGACAAGGTGAGGAAGAAGAGGAGGTGAAAATGTTAGATAGGGGGGATTTAATGAAAGGCAGAGATGGAGTTAGGGGAGGAAGGAGGAGGTTTGTGAGGAGACAGAAAGATATTATGGATAATCTTTAGGGGATTGGGTTGCATGAATAACTACTGAGATATTTACACTGTCTCCTCTGTCTGTCGCCCATCGTCCTGACCACCCTGCAGTCCTTTTTATCCTTTCCAATCCCACGTCCACTTTGTCCTGGCTTCAATCTACGTCTCCCTCCTGCCTGTCCATATAACTGTCTTTCTATCCCCATATTGTTTATTTCCATCTTTTCTCCCTCATTTCCATCCTTTCACATATCTTTCTTTATCCTCCGATATTTGTGTGTTAATAGCTGTAAATCTGGCTATATATTCACAGGGATGAGCAAAAATTAGGTTTGAAAACACGCTTTACACGATTACATTAAAATTAGTATTAGTATTATAATGACCTATTATTACAGACATTTCCAAATGCTTATTTTCCCTAGGCCACCTTCTCTCTCTGCTCACTTAAATCTCTTGTGACTGTATGAATTAATTAAACACTACTGCTATTAGCGTTAAGCTATAGCAAACGTTTTCAAGGGTCCTCTTTATGTTCATCCTATTCAAAAATCATTTAAATGAGAGTTGGACACATTTAGAGAATAAAGTCTTGTTGAGAGTGATCTCATCGGTGCACTGTTCCTTTAAATGGAGGGAGACGATGGAGAGTGGTGGGAGGGAGATGCAAGGAGAGAGAGAAGAGAGAAAGGGAGAGAGAGAGAGAAGGAGATGTAGTAGAAAAAGGGGGGGGTTGTTGTGTGCACTTAGTCTCCGAGAGGTGTGTGGGTTGAGCATGATTTGACTGAAAGAAAGAAAAGAAAGACAGAAATAAAGACTTGAGAGGAAATTACTGAAAAGAGCTGCACATCTTACGAGGATTTTTTTCCTGAAGATATTCAAACAATTTGAAGGAGAAACTGCCATTGATTCAACCCTCCTTGTTGGACATGGAAACAAATGGCAGATATCATTGACCTCTGATGAGACAATGCGGTCACTTTTGAGGACTTAAAGGGATATTAAATGAGCATAAGTCAACAGTCTTGAAGAGATCTCTCCAAGAAAAATTCACTTTACTTCACACTTGTTGGGACTTTTTAAGGCATTTCAGAATCTATCAGATAAATTTTTACATGATACATGATAACTGCCCTCCAGGGAAGACTGAATACTGCTGAAAGGCTTTTAGGCAGCAGGATATTCCTCAGATAAGCCTTTTAACGTTTACTTTGGGAAAATATTACAAGACATTTCATTGCATTCCTCTGGAATAGAATTAAACATTTCAGGTTATTCAATGCGGAATTATTATTTTACTAATTTACCATATATTCACACTACTTTTAGACAAGTTGTTGATCTTGTTATTTATTTGCTAGTGAATGTGATTTGTGAGCCAACTGTTGAGACGTACTGCTGAATATTTGATCTAATTCTCAAAGCACACAATCAATCAACATAGATTTATTTTACCTGCTTATCACCAACAATTTTCAGTCTCAAGACTTAAACCAGACAGAAGAGAAAAAAGAAAGAGAGATGGCACAGAAAGAGGGAGGAACAGAGCAGGGGTGTGACAAGACCGGGGACAATCTTGGGTCCAAAGCCATGGCTGGTGCCCCTATTGCAGGTGGAGGTGTGGTGGTGGAGGTCAGGGAGAAGAAGGGACCTCTGCGGGCTGCGATACCCACAATGCCTTTCCCTCTGGCTGTCATCTGTCTGTTTCTGAACACCTTCATACCCGGCCTCGGTAAGTCTGCAATCACACTTTGTTCCTCTCTCCATCTGTAATTCCTTCTGAACTTGATTGTTTCTGCGTTTCACTGTGTAAAAGTTAGAGCGGCTCACAGAAACCCAAATAAACAAAGTTAAGAACCTAAGAGAGCGAACGTGAGATGCATGCTGAGATGCATGCAGGATTGAAAATAGTGAAACAAGAGACCGATCCCCAGAGACATGGACAATTATAGCCGTGATGCAAGCAGAGGGGAATGTAGAGTGAGCATAAAAGTTGCATGGGAAGTTTGCAGGCATTAACTACCCAAAATTGGTTTGGAAAATAAACTTAAACTGTGTCTAGTTTACTTATTGAATCTTTCTATTGCTCTTCCATTTCCACACATAACAATCACACACACAACCCCCCCCCTCTAATTTTAATGAACCTATAATTATTTATCACACTGATTGGGGGACTTATTTTCACTTATCTTAAAAAAAAAAAAAAACTCTGTCTGTGTGTGTATATCTGTTTATTTTTCTGTGTATATACACATGTGGGTGTAGAAAAGACAGAAAGTGAGAGACCCCATGCACACCTTCAGTTAAAATAAGAGCATCAGCAGGTAAATACACAGCCTGCAGTGTACCAGGTGCTCATGCGTTCAGTAAATGTGGTGTCTGGATTGCTACTGTGAGTATGAAAATCCATCGCAGATGTCATGATTATGGGCAGCAACATCATAAGATGACTAGGTAGACTCAACATTTGTATTAATATTACGGAAAGAAGAAGTAGTTTTAAGATGATGCTTAGTCGCTTAAAGGTTAAGTGTGTAAGTCCTAGTGAGTGTGTAAGCCCCACCCAAGCCAGCAATATAGCTACGGTGCCTGAGACAGGACAAAGATGTCCTCTATGAGATAAAAGATATTGCCAGTCAAGAAATGAGGTTTCTTAGATGTGTTAAGAAATTATATAAATGATAAACCAAATTTTTTGCTTGTGGCAAAACGGTGCAACGTTTTTAATGGGCATTTAGCATGTGAAAGTACAAATTACACATTTTTGTGCACAGTGGCTAAGCAATATCCAATAACAGTTTTTTTTATGCAAATTCTGAAAGTACTCTTTATTGGTCACTTGATAGGCACATGGTCTTGTTATATATCAGCATTAGCAGTAAAAAGAAATACATGTTTTCCACCAGGGCAGTAAAATGTGAAGTTTAGCTGCTGATCTGAGCTTCCCTGCTGTTACCATTTTATTACCAATAACCTTCTGTCTCAGGAAGGTAAAGGCACTTTTCTGTCCACATAACAAAGCCAAGCTAAAGCTATCAAACGACAGTTTTCATTTGCATCGCTAAAGTCTGACAAACAAAGTTAATTACCTGTCCAGCAGAAAACAGACAACTTCATAAAACATCTGTCCCACAATATAGCCTTCCATCTGGGAAAATCCACAAAATCCCTGATTTCTGCTGTCAGCTGTCTGCATCTGTCCCGACTCCGTCTGGCTTCATGGTATAAAGATCCACAGGCTGTCAGCTCTCGTGCTAAATAACACGTGTGTGCTCGTTCATTTGTCCAAATATCACTTCTCTTCTTACTTCTAATAAACCAAAAGACTACTGTGGTATATTTCCTCTTCTTCTTCTTTGTACATATTCAATGTAGTGACGGGCGTCTACACTACCGGAATTACACAAGCAGAAGAAAAACGCCGTGATGACGAAACGCGCTCTGTAGCGCTGTTTATTTGTTGTGGGCTACGGTAGAAACATGATACAAAATACAACGACCTCCACAGCAGGGGGTGCCGGCGGTTATGTAGATATAAATGTGTCATTCTAAGGTTAAAAAACCGGTTCATTATGTAAGGTCTTTATACACCATTGAAAACATAGTTATGGATATTATATTGCATTTCTGTCAATAGATCCTCCTAGAAATATTACACACTGAACCTTTAACTATTTTACATTTACATTTGCTCATTTGGCAGACGCTTTTATCCAAAGCAACTTACATTTGAGGAACAACATACAAGCATCAACAGAGCATCAAATACAGATCTACAACTTATCAATAGCAAACTATTATCATCAAGTCTGACCTTTCAGCCATCACGGTTTTCCATTATTTTGGCTGCGAAATGATACATGAGATTCTGCTTGTAACTCAAAGCTGAACCAAGCCATTCCATCGAATTGTTTCAATTAGCAAGGTCACAAGAAGAAGTAAAATAGGCTGATAAAGAGCAGATATATGTCTTATATACCATATAATATGGACACTTAGGGTATTTTGGTGACAATCTGAAATAAATTGCAATTGCAACCAAATTGCAAAGCAACATAATGAATTCAAAAGCATTTACCTCAGTAAGTCTGACTCACTTGGCAAAATTTACCCACGTATAAAGCCCTAATAATCTCAAGATTTAGGTATTCTAAGAAAATTTGTCCTTTCACTATGTGTATTTTGATCATTCCTGATGCCTCTGCCTTCTGTCCTACCCATTCCATCTAATTTCCAGTGCTTCATCCTCCACTTATTTGGATGTATGCACATGCGTGTCTGTGTATAGTAAGATTATGAAACAACATCTGGTAGCTAAAAACACAAAAAGCATGCAGCATCAGCCTCATCGATTTGTTGATCCTCACTTTGTACATGACAAAGCCTGTGGAGCCAGACACACACACACGTTCATTCCACTATTAGGGAAATCTCATTGACGATTACCCTAACCCTAACCTTAACCTAATTGTAACCTGAACCCTAAAACCAAGTCTAAACCCTTAAAAAAACTTTAAAAACAGTCCCTACCCATGGAGACCTACATTTTTGCAACGCAAGTTCCCATTGGTTAGTGTGCATTCAGTCTACACCGGGATGCAGAAACATGAAACACACACTCACACACTGTATACTTTACTGTATGTCCACTGTCACTAAAACATGTTGGTATATAAAATCTCTGGTAACATTTTCACACAACACATGGTGAAATCTGTTCTCTATGCATTTAACCCATCCTAAGTAGTAGGACCAGTGGGCAGCCACTATGCAGCTATGTAGTTCTAAGCTTGTGCCTTGGTCAAGGTCACTAACAGAAGAATTAGCATAAATATTTTTTATTTTTTTGTATGTAAGTAACACACTGAGATCAGGCTCAATTAACTATCATTCAATAATCTGAGTTAGTTCAGTGGTTCAGTTCAAAAGCAACAGAACTTGATAATAAAGAGTAATTTATTTTAGGAATGCCATACAAATGTGAAACAATTAATGAAGTGAAAATCACACTGTGTGAACACGGTGTGAAGAGAAAACAGAGAAGAGGAAGAAACAAATACAAAGACCACCACTTAAAGGAGAGAGATGGATCCTTCTCTGAAGGAATTATGGGACAGATGTCGCCATAACAATCACTAAGAGCTGAGTCCATCACCAAATAACCTATGATGTGGCCTCTCGCCTCAGATCTATTGGTCATAGCTCTCTGGAGACTTATTATATGTGTGTTTGCCCTCTCCTCTTCATCTCTTCTTCTCCCACTCTATGAGCTTCTTCTTTAGATACCAAATTCTAACCCTTCATTCATCCTTTGTCTCACACTTTTACACACATTCAGCAGTCTCAACATTTGTTGCTACCTTTCTACAGTAAATGCCGAATCACTGACTGTTTTAAAGTGTCACAAACAGCCGTGTAAGAAAACAAGGTCTGCAAAATGACTGAAAAATCACTAGCCCCTCCCCTCCCTGCCCTCATGTGTTGCCTTAAAAATTCTAATTACAACATGTATGAACAGGTGTGTGTGCTCAGAGTGTGTATGTAGGTTGGTCTAAATGCCTTGACATTTCATTGAATAGCTGGGGCTTGTTGCCATGACAACACTGACTGAAATGAACACAATGCACATGTGTTTGTCAATGCTGTTTGGATCTAATTGACTGATAACAGCGGCTTATTCTATTCATCCAGCCAAAATAACATTTTGAGTGTAGTGAAAAACTGAAAAAGGACATTTTACTGGATCACTGAAAATGAAAAACTCACCGGAACTGGAAATACTAAAGTCACATTTTCTGACACACATGTGGTGTGTTTGTAATATAATGCACTCATTCATGTTACAGATTGCTCAACATTTGTCCACTATCATACTTCTTTGTAGCTGTGCTGGAGATACTGTATCTAATGGCCAACAAGTCCTCCAAATGAAATGTCAAAGGATGACACATCAGAAGCCTTTTCTGATTTGACAGCACTGTAACATAAATAAAACCTTTACTGATCTTACAATGCTATGGTTAACGTTTAGTTTGATTAAGTCACAAAAATTACTTTGTTAGGGTAAGGGTAAGGGTTGTGTTAAAATAACCGTTTAAGATTAGGGGATGAGGGGACCTTCATCATTATTAAAGGAAGAGGGTTACACAGCTGACCTGGCTCTTTCCAAAATCTGCCTAATAGCACTTACGGTTCACTAATTAACAAGTTATTTATTAAATCAGTGCAGAAACCAAAGTGTAAAAGCCAGACGATGTGGTTTTGCAGGGAGACACACTAGCAGTTTCCCTCCTTTTTCAGTCTTTATGCTAAGCTAGACTAACCGGCTGCTGGCTGTAGCTTCAGGAAGCAGCCAGCTTGCTATGTCCACAGTTAAAAAATATTCTTTCTAAGACCTCCAAAATCCAGTACCCACATATCCTGTTTGTTTAATATATACACAAACAAAATGACAAGTTGAGGTTGTGGGAGTTATATGTTGTAACTATTCCTTCGGTGATCAACAGCCTGAAGCAGCCTGAAGCAGCCAGGCTACCAGCAGAGAGGTAGAGTGCAGAATTACTGCATAGAGGTGTATGGGCGAACAGATAACTGTTGTTTGTCTAAAAGTAGTTGCTGGTAAGCATATTTTTGAATTTTGGAGAGAACCAGGCTCACTGTTTGCCGTTTCCAGTATCAATGCTAAGCTAAATCATCACCTTGCTCAAGCTCCATACTCAACTCACAGAC